ATGAAAGTAATTTTTACCTTCACAAGAGTATTGTGGGTTGTCATGAAGAAGCAATTGACAAGTTTAAAGCACACAACAATAAAAAACGTATCTCCCTACACTAAGAAGCTGCAGATAATTTTATCTTGCTGCAGAGCAAAGGAAAAAATACTTTACACATTTTTCTTGTTGAACAGAACTGGACTCATTATGGACCAAAAGAGAAAAAACATTAAAAGCACAGGAATGCTTTCCACAGCTACTTATAAAACAATGCCTCAATCATCACATGCCTCATTGTGGTGACAGCGAAGTACTACATTTAACTTTTTTATCATTTGCTTAAGAGTTTATCCATTAAAATTACACTCATAATTAGGACACGATCCTGCAAACCCATGCTACCATGCAGAGCTTAGCTCCATGGAAATCCACTTGCACTAGTGGCTAGTAGCACATATTTGCAGGATCAGGCAGGGATACACATCCAGGGGACTTTTGAGCATTAGATTTGGCTGAGGTTTTGTGTTATAAGTACAAATTTTCAAATAGAAAAAAATATTCAGAGTAAAGCCAGAAGAGAGATCATTTATGATTATCTACTCTGTTCTGTATAACAAAGGCCACAAACGTGTGTGCATGTGCACACACACACATTACATTTAGAACAGCCTTTCCAAATGGAAAAAAGAACAGTATTTATGTCAAAAAGGTAGATGTAGGCCTGCACCAAATTTTTAGAGGAAAACATCCCAAACTGTGTAGTGTGGGACCAGCTTTGCACAAAGGAGACCGACTCAAACAAAGAGAGGCATTCTCTGATCAACTGCAGCTGCCTGTGGTTTCTAGTGCATATTAATATAAATAAATATCTGAATATTTAGCATCTTAAATACATAGGACAGTGTTGCTTATTCTCTAGTATTGTTAAGGACCAGATTGTGTCTGGCTGACTAGTGTAAGCAGGGCAGGCAGGAAGGGCAGGAAATCCACCATCTTATGCAGCCAGGTTCAACTGCAATCCACATGCTGTCGGTGTGCTCCATAGGGCACAAGACACCCCAAAGTTGGGAGGAGGCAGGGTCATGACCAGGTGGGCAGGGTGGACTATGCTGCAACCTCTGAAGAGGCGTAGCAGCAGTCACACTTTCCCAGTCTACTGTAGAGCTCCAGGAGAAATTCTACCTCCTTTAGGCAGAATTCCTCCGACATCTGCCCAATGCAGATATGCGCCTAATTGGCACAGGGCTGAGCCCCAACATGCATTGACTGTGACAGCCACGTTACCCAGAATTTAAGGATACATACAGAAACGTACTGAAAGGGTACCTCACAATAACGTTTTATGACATCACTTTAATACTAAAATAAATGATAAGAAATAAATACTTCATCTTTCATGAACACAAGTTTAATATTTGTTTTTGTTCCAGATAAAATGCGAGAGGGGAAGGCAAAAAATGGCAGATGACAACAATCTGTCTTTCTTCTATCTACAGAACAGCAAGCAGCTTGATAATGTGGAGAATTACACCACTCTATCAGAACATGACACCTCTCCCCCTTTTCCTCACACTCTGAGGAGTCATCATTTTTTCTGCTTTAGAAAAGGGAGCATAAATTCTGACTCTGGTATATCTACACTGGTTAGACTTTTTCTTCATGACTTTCACCTTTTATTATCTTCAATAAGGACTTGTGTTCACTAGAAATGTAGAGAGTTAGAACATGACCTTAAACTAACACAATATTGACTACAACTTTGCTGTCACAGTAGGCAGCCACAAGCTGTATTTAATATTATGTTAATGGGTCATGGGTAAAACATGGTTCCAGTGGGATTTACTCACAACCAGCTGCATTATGTTAAACACAACTTGTCCCTGTGTTCCATGACAGCAAAGTTGTAGTCAGCATCACATTAGTTAACAGGACTCTTCAAGGTTGTGTTCTAGCTCAATGTCATTTTCTAGTGAAGATAAGTCCTTAACTGGTCCTAGAGACCCTCCATTCCACAAGCTGACTTTTCATAGCTGAGAAAGCCTGATTGAGATGCCTTCAGTACCAATCAATGTCTTTCTCAGTTTGGACACATGGGTTGCTATGGAGCCCTCCCCTCACTATGGCCTGAACTTGCTGCCTCCAGTGTTCTCAGCTCTTGAAAGAATGGAGAGTAACTTCTCAGTTTTCTGAAAAGCAAATTATTACAGGGTGACTGGCCCTCTAAGGGGAGATGGACACAGCCCCACTATCCTTGCATTAGTTGGAAGAGCTCTCCTGGCCCTTCCTGCCTGGGGTCAGTATTGAGACAGAGTGTATGGATGTCCAGAAAACTTGCCTCCTAATGGACTGCGTTTTCCAAAACTCAGATTGAACTTCGGAAGGGATGGACTGCCTGCTTCTGAGCTGCATACAATACACACTTACAGAGAGGACTTGCTAACACAAGAGAATTGCAAAGAGCTGAGAGCATCTTGAAACTTGGAGTGTTTCTGGAGCTCTCATTAAAATGGTTAATCGTTTATTGGGAAAATGACATTCCAATCCAAATATCTCAAGTTCATAATTTTTTTGTTTTTGTTTACTCTAGCCAGAAACTGTGACTATAATGGAGTCCTTTCCTGTTGTGCTTTTCTAAAAATTGGGATTACACATTGCACTGAAGAAGGGGGATAGAGGAAATGCAGCATGTGAACAAATATGATGCATGAGAAGGAGTGAGAGACACATTCATACATTCATTTACTCTAAGTAAATTCTGAGCTGTACACATTTTAATTAAGCACAGAAAGCATATGTTAAATATTTAGTGAAACAAAGCAGTCTAGTCTTCAACAGTCTCAAATAACAGGCAGAAAATTATGTATTTTACTTCCTGCTGTGGACTTTAAAAGAAACCTCGTCCTAGTTTCCTAACTGCAAAATGAATTTAAAGCACTAAATTAAAAAGACAGGCACTTGAGGGAGTGCCTCACACTGCTTATTTGCTACATCCTCTTCTCTCTCGTTTCAAGACTGGGACTTGGATCCCAATCCTGCAGGCTGCTCTGTACTTGCAAACTATTATACTAGCATAGAGTCCTATTAAAGTATGCCTTCCCTGCAGAGTAAACTCAGGTGATTGGCGCCTACTTATGAGTAGCAACACCGCAAAGCCATACGCGTGTTACCATGTCCTCACTGGTGCTGCGCTTCCTCACATATATTGCTAGGACTTCTTGAGTCATATCATATGTTTTTTTTGCGCTGCTGAACTTTTCTATAATTCTTTCCCAGTGAATTGTGGGAGAACTTGTCTGTCCTTCTGGGCATGTGGGGGAATTATGGGAAGGCACTGGAGGAGTAGCATCGCTTGAGTGGTTTAACCTGCTTTCTCACTGCCAAGTGGGTGGGTGACCAGCCTGACTGAAAGCCTCTCTTGGGCGCTAGCCTACAGCCCCACTGAGCTACCTGGTGTAGGTTGAAAGTATCATTAAACTTGGGTTTAGAGTATATTGTGTGTGGATGGGAGGGGCAAGAACTGAAAGAGCTCAAGTTAGCACTGCAGTGAATACACTCTTGAAGTTTACAGGGCTATGAATGGATGCGGGGGTCTGACTTTGTGTAGTGCCTTGCAGGATCAGGAGTTACCACAATGCTGATAGGTCGGAAAACCAGAGGCAGCTTTCCTGAGTAAGAGACAGTGTTGCTACAATGTGGGCTTAGAGGAGAGCCAAGGAAAGAGGAAAATGTGTGCGATAGGAAGACACTTGCACTCAAAGTTCCAGCAGTAGTTTAGGATAGTTTGTGTATGAAGGATTTTGAGCATTGTTTGATTCCATAAATCGTGCTGATCTAAAGTGACTAGCGTTTGGCAGGTAAGACCCTGGGCCTTAAATAAAAATCTTGCAAAATTGTCATATGTCTGAACTGAGCCCAGAGTGAGAATGAAAGTAAGTGGCGACATGAAAAAGAATACTGATATACTGGAGCAGGCAAATGAAATGCTGAATTTTAATTGGTTTAATTTCCCTGCCTCATTGTTGAAGAATGACTAAGGGAATTGGAGTTTATTTGTGAGTATTTATGTGATGTTTAGACTCCAGATAAATCAAGGGTTAAGGGAACAAAACATCGAGTGGAGTGGGGCCAAAGGGAAATTAATGAGACATTGTGTGTTCAGACAATCCAGAATTCATCATTTTGGACCACATTCATCCCTGGTGTTACTCCACTCACTCCAATTGAATTACACATGGGATGAATTTGTCTTTTTCAGGCTAAGTTTCAAGGACAAGGATATTGCCAGATTGCAATACACTACTAACAAAGGTTAGTGCTGGGCCTGGCATTGACTAATCTGGACCACTGCCAACATATCAGTCTCCATAGTGTGGGTGTTCTCATTCCAAATCTCTGCCAATACATGTAGGGCATGTTTGTGTCGTGTGCCTAGCTTTGTTTAGGGTTCCATGCAGGGGTCACGGCCCCACTCAGGTTTGGCTTGGCTGTCCCTCCATCAGGGCCGGCTCCAGGGTTTTTGTCGCCACAAGCAGAGGAAAAAAAAAAAAAGCCGCGTTCACGATCAGCTCTACCGCCGCTGCTTCAGTCTTCGGTGGCAATTCGACGGCTGGTCCTTCACTCTGAGAGGGAGTGAGGGACCCGCCACTGAATTGCCACTGAAGAGCCGGGCATGCCAACCCTCTCCGTTGGCTGCCCCAAGCACCTGCTTACTGGGCTGGTGCCTGGAGCCGGTCCTGCCCTCCATTATGACAGAATGGTGGCCAGACTAAATCTGAGTGGTGCTGTGACCCCACGTGCCAGGTCACAATGCCCAGAGCGGGGAACTGCACCCAGCTTTATGTTGTGGGCTGAGTGCAGGGTGAGCAAACTCTCTAATGCTCCTCCCGCACCATGGTCTCCCCTGTGCACTGAGCCCGCAACCCATCTACAATCTTCCTGCAGTGCACTTGTGGGTCATGACCCACTGTTTGGTAAACACTGCTCTAAAGTAAAAATACTGTAAGGCATTAAAAACTTACTTCTTTTACAAACCATTGGCAGAAGGCAGGACCAATCCATTCTCTTGCATGAATGCCACAGTCTATCCAGACAGCTCTCTTGTAAGGCCGTGATCTTTTACCTAACTAAAAAAGTAAATATTCATTGTTACCACAGCAGGTCTTAGTGCTTATTGACATTTAGTGAGCAGCAATAGTAGAAATGAACATAGTTAATTAGCTACAATAGACATTTTGAACTTTTCTTGTAAACCGTTACAAAAGAGATACAGATCTGTTATTTTGAATAGGAATTCTAGGTATCATCCATGCAGATCATTTCAAGGTTACAAACTGGAGAACTGAAAAAGTCACAGGAAAAGTCAGAGCTATCAACTCCTCTTATATTGAAGAAATAAGTCCTTATATGCCACTTGGAGCAGGGCTAGGGTAATGTATTTTGGGGAGTAATTTAAAGATTTTCCTGAAATCAGCATGTCATGTGAAACCAAATTTTAAGAAATTAGTGGGAAAGGATGCAAGGAAAACATATAGAAGTACTAATTTTTCCTTTGTAGGCTTTGGCTAATTTTGAGCATTGAATCCCAGCATTTCATCATTAACAGCTCAACAAGAATTGTGTGGCACTATGTTCAGAAGAGGTCAAGGGTTTCTTGTGGTCCATCCATCCTTGAGGGTACTCATTCTATAAATCAGCTATAAACACAGAACTTTCCAACTCCCTTAAAGCCAAATCCTGCTTACCTTACTCACACAAATAATCCAGTAGATTGCAAAGAGAATACATACAGAGGTAAAGACAGCAGGATTTGACTCTTAACTTTCTAATGTGTGAACTATTTTCTCACAGGCTATTACATTGTTTATTAAGGGTCTGATCCAGGATGGTGCTGAGTTCCCGCAAATCCTGCTGATTTCATTAGGAGATGTAGGTTCTCAGAACCTCTCATATAAATATGCTGTGTGGAATAGGTATTTGAATTTGGTTTCAGGTGTTAGATATAACTGCTTTAACTATTTAATTTTTACCTTTAGTACAAACAGAGGTCTCCCTTCATATGATTTTCCAACAGAGAACATATGAATGAGATCTGAATGGGTTTTGTTCAGACGATACATCCAACTTTGAATCTGAAAATACAGACATAAAATTGCTGTCTAAGTCATTAACACTTCTGGGAAAGAGATATTAAAGAGAAGGGAGAAAAAAAGGCTAGTGAGACCTGTCAAGAATATGTTTTGTTTTCCAGTTGTGTCCTGTCTGTCACTTAGATTGTGAGCAATGTGGGGAAGGGAGTGGAACAGTCTTCTTTGTTCCATGTCTGCACAGTGCCTAGCACACTGGGGCCCGGAGCCTTTAATAGGGTTCATAGGTGCTATTTTAATCCTACTTTTACTACTATGACCCACAGTGTGTTTTTTTTATTTGGTCTTTCATTTGGGTTATCTCTGTGCTCTAATAAATGCTCTAGACCTTTTTGTCCCCCCTTGCTTCTTCAGTAACTTCAGGTCCAGTCTTCCCTCCCTCTAATTCCTCCTTGATGACACCTTACTACAACAAAGTGACAACTAGCCTCCCCCTTAGAAATCACCAAGAATTTGGGAGGGAGTATGTCTACCTTGAAGACCGCTCCCACCAAAAAGTGGTATGGAGGAAGCAATCTAGTTAGCTTCCCCCTGTGAGGCCAACTGACATTCCCTAAAGACATTAGAAGCTGAATGGAGAAAGAAATCTCCCCTCTGGAAGATGGCACCAGGTAAAGATGGAAAATGGGCTTGTTGGGAGAAGGGAGGGGAGTGGTAGAAGACACTAGTGTCAACAGTTTCATTTTTTGCAGTGAGTAGATAGGATACTGCAACTAAACCTCAGGAGTTGCAGATCCTCACAAACTGAACTCAGTGGTTTTGTTTCTAGTGCAAACTGACATAGGTGGATTTCACAGAGCTCTATCTAACACCCTCTGTGCTGACAGCAGTAGGTTCTGTACTTGCATGCACATTGTCAAATGGAAGGATTGATTTTTCCTTCTTCCTCTCCCTACTCAATGTCTCAGGGCCAGATGCTGAAGAGGCTCTGTACGTGTAGCTTCAGAGGAGGAGAAGCAACAGGCCATGTCATAGTTTAAAAAAAACAATTTTAACAAGAAAATACGCAGACATTTTAAAACCTTAGAGTGTATTCTTCAGTTATTACTCAGAGAACATTCCCTTTGACTTCAGTGAGAGATTCATAGAATCACAGAATCATAGAAATGTAGTGCTAGAAGGTACCTAGTGAGGTCATCTAGTCCAGCCGCCTGCATTGAGGCAGGACCAAGTAAACCTAGAGCATCCCTGACAGGTGTTTGTCCAACCTGTTCTTAAAAACATCCGGTGATGGGGATTCCACAATCTCCTGTGGACAATGATTCCAGACCTTAACTACCCTTTATAATTAGAAAGTTTTTCCTAATATCTAACCTAAATCTTCCTTGCTGCAGATTAAGCCCATTACTTCTTGTCCTACCTTCAGTGGACGTACAGAACAATTGACCACTGTCCTCTTATCAGTTCCCCACACAGTCTTCTTTTCTCCTGACTAAACATGCCCAGTTTTGTAAACCTTTCCTGATAGGTCAGGTTTCTAATTTTTTTTTATCATTTTTGTTGTTTTCTAGATTCTTTCCAATTTGTCCACATCTTTTCTAAAAACGTGGCACCTGGAAGTGGACACACATTCCAGCTGAGTCCTCACCAGTGCTGAATAGTGTGGGACAATTACGTCCTGTGTCTTACATATGACACTCCTGTTAATACACTCCAAAATGATATTAGCTATTTTTGCAACTGTATCACATTGTGACTCATATTGAATTTGTGATCCACTATAACCCGCAGATCCCATTCAACAGTACTATTGCCTAGTCAGTTATTACCCATTTTGCAGTTGTGCATTTAATTTTTCCTTCCTAAGTGAAATATTTTGCACTTGTCTTTACTGAATCTTATCTTGTTGATTTCAGACTAATTCTCTAATTTGTCAAGGTCATTTGAATTCTAATTGTGACTTCCAAAGTGCTGGCAAACCCCTCCCAGATCTTGATGTCATCCATAAATGTTATAAGCATACTCTCCACTCTATTATCAAAGTCATTAATGAAAATATTGACTAGTACTGGACCCAGGACTGACTCCTGTAGGACCTATTAGATACCCCCTTCCAGTTTGACAGCAAACCATTGATAACTACTTTTGAGTATAGTCTTTCAACCAATTGTGGTCTAGGTGAAATTACTATAAGTTGGCTGCACATTTCTGCACATTGCTTATGAGAATGTCATGTGGGACTGTGTCACAAACCTTACTGATATCAAGATATAATTCATCTGAATAAGAGTGAATTTGGCTCCTAATAATAATTTAATTAATACAACCAGTGTCTATTTTTATTTCTCTATTGGTCCACTGAAATCCATGGGAGTTCTTCACATGGAAAGCTTGCAGGCTTGGGCCCTTAGTAGAGGAACCACTATCTGAATACTTTTATCTCTTTGGGCCCCATCCTGCAGACACTTAAGCATGTGAGAAAATTTTAATCACAAGTAGACCTGTGGACTTCAGTGAGACTTCTAATGTGAATAAGGTAACCACGCCCCCAGACTCTGAAGTCAAAAGAATTTAAACCAAAGTCATGTTAACAGTGACTGGTTTAAAACAAAGAAGTTTCTAAGGTAACTATTTAGAAAGGAAAAGGAACATAAGAACGTAAGAATAGTCATACTGGGTCAAACTATTGGTTCATCTAGCTCAGTATCCAACAGTGGCCAGCACCAGATGCTTCAAAGGGAATGAATAGAACAGGGCAATTATTGAGTGATCCATCCAGTCTCAGCTTCTGGCAGTCAGAGGTTGAGCGATACCCAGAACATGGACTTGCGTCCCTGACCATCTTGGCTAATAAGCCATTCATGGACCTATACTCCGTGAATTTGCCTAATTATTTTTGAGCCCAGTTATACTTTGGGCCTTCACTAGATCCCCTGGCCACAAGTTTCACAGGTTGACTCTGCATTGTGTGAAGTAGTACTTACTTTTGCTTGTTTTAAACCTGCTGCCTATTAATTTCATCAGGTTTCCCCAGCTCTTGTGTTATGTGAAGGGGTAAACAACACTTCCTTATTCACTTTCTCCACACCATTCATAATTTTATAGACCTCCATTATATCCCCCTTTAGTCGTCTCTTTTCTAACCTGAACAGTTCCAGTCTTTTTACTCTCTCCTTGTATGGAAGCTGTTCCATACTACTGGTCATTTTTGTTACCCTTCTCTGTACCTTTTCCAATTCCAATATATCTTTTTTGAGATGCCAAACCTTGAAAGAAAATATTATAAATAATAATGGATTTAAAAACAAACTTTAAAGGGTCTATATTTTTATTTTATATAAAACATTTAGAAAACTTGCTGAAAATGAATATGTATGTGTAACTTTTACTAGCATCTCTACTCATCAGGATCAGAACACACTTCTAACTAGATAGGGTGAAATCTTAGCCTCGCTGAAGTGAATGGGAGTTTAGATCAGTGGTCTCCAAAGTGGGGTGCGCGCAGGAGGAGCATTTTATTTTTTTGCTTCATCAGGCGATAGTCCGAGTGCCTTTTTTTTTTTTTTTTGCTTTGGCGCGGCAGGGGGTGCATGCTCAAAAATTTTTTACTGATAGGGGGGCGTGATCAAAAAAGTTTGGAGACCACTGGTTTAGATAAAAAACACCATCTTCATTTTCAACATACTTCTTCCAGTGAGTGGTACACTTCATAGTTGTATCCTAGTACTGATCTACGATTCCTACATGATCGCAAACCACTTTGTTTTTCTATCACTTTCTGTAGATCCGATATGATGATCCTAGATTAAAAAGAAAGCAGCATTATTAAACAGCATGAATAAAATAGAGTGCAGTGCAAAATAAATATCAGATTTAAAGAGAAATACAGCCACAGTAAAATAGTGCTGATGTTACATCATCCTTTTTTATTTTAACAATAAAAGTTTGCAGGCTTATTACAATACATACTGCCAAATAAGTAGTCCAATTGCTTTGAAACATAACAGTGCTTTCAAAAACGGAGGCAGCTTGTTTTTAAGTGAATGAAACAGAATGATGTAAACAACTTAGCCTAATTTAAGTGTTCAAGTTATGCTTGTATGGCAGCACTTATAGCTTACTTTTATACTGCAAAATATGGATGCCTATGTTTTCTCTCCATGTAGAAGTGCTGAACCATACATATAGATACGGGGGGTCAGACACAAAACAACAACAGACTTGGGCACTGGAAATATTCCATCTAAAGCAAAAATGAATGTGTAAATCTTTTCCTTGGTTTATCATGTATAGTTATACTACAGTTCTTCTAAGAAATATTCATCTTGAAGTCAGTCATTTTAAAAGTGTCTAGCAAAAAATGAGAAACAAAAATTGCATAATGTAACCTAAATATACGGTCTCACACTTAGACATAGACAGCAAGAGGGGGCTGGTATTGAAAGAGAAAGGCAGAAAAAAGCTTTTCTATTTTTCTGCCAAGACCAAAGAATAGCATAGAAAGGTCACTAACTCATGGAAAGAAGTCTTTCCAACATGGTGCAGTGCCGTGATCTCAGACATTCAGGGCCAGATTCTGATAATACAATAGCTTAAATCAGGGGTACCTTCGCTGAATTCAGTGGCGATATGATATGTCAGTATAAAATTAAGAACAGAATCAGGTTTTGAGAATTGTGGTGCTACTCTCTTGAACTGAGTTGCTCTAGCATTGCAACTAATGCCCCCAAGCGTCATTTTTATAAAATGAGGTGATGCTCAATCTTTTTAATTCTTAAAACAGCAATGATTAATGCAGAAAAAAGAAATGCTCTATTTACTAATTTCATAAACTACTAACTATATCACTTTAATATGTAATTAGCATATCAATATGTGTATCAAAGTAATGGCTATCTATGTTCTTCAAATATATATCTCAGGGAAGTAATATATATAATTATGACTGAAGGCTTCTCTACAGTCATATGCACCGCTACCTTGATATAACGCGACCCAATATAACACGAATTCGGATATAATGCGGTAAAGCAGTGCTCCGGAGGGGAGGGGGGGGGCTGCGCACTCTGGTGGATCAAAGCAAGTTCAATATAACACGGTTTCACCTATAACACGGTAAGATTTTTTGGCTCCCGAGGACAGTGCTATATGGAGGTAGAGGTGTATTTTTAAATAAATTCCAGGGTTATAGCCTTGATTTTCTGAGCACTCTGAGCCAAGGCCAACAAAGCACTTAAGCATGTGCTTAACTTTAAGCATGTGAGTGATCCAGCTGAAGTCAGTGGGGTTACTCACATGTTAAAGTTAAGCACATACTTAAGTGCTCTGTTGAAGCCTGTGTAGAACATTCAGCATCTTTCAGGATTAGGTCCTATTTGTTCATCTCGAAGTATGTGGATTTAAACATAACTCCCCATGTATAGATTTCTGTGTCTCAGAATGAGAATATACTATAGGGTCTCTTATTTACTTTCAGTGAGCACATACTATGTTTACTTATTGCAGCCCAGGGCTCTAACTTCAATTGCAATCGTATGTCAGGGACTGAATAGTCAACCTATACATGGCAGGTACAAGAGCCTGTCACAGGGTGACTGGTCCCTTTCAGAAGAAACAGATCCAGTTTCCCTGTGACTAATTAGCTGCTTGCAAGTGGGATCTCATAGAAGGCACCTGTATCTATAACACCTCAGGCACTGGTTAGGACCAGGCGGAAGAAGAGACAGGAAGTAGTAGTGGTGGGAGGAGGAAGAGGGAGTGGAAGAGATGAAGAAGGTTCTCTGGAGCAAGCTGCATGAACCCCTTACAGAGCAGGAGTTGGGAGCTGCTGTGGGGAAGAGCTGGTGCAGAGAAAGAACTGGAGAGCGTTGGTGGGACAGGGCTGGCTGGAGCTAGGGAATCCTAGTGACTGAAAGGCTCATGTAGCAGCCCCTGATTAAAAGGGAAGATCCGACTCAGCTAGGACCAGGCTGAACATAGAAGAGAGTGATTCTGAAGAATCTCAGCAGGGATAGGATTCCTGGGCAAAGGAGGCCTGGGGTATGGAACACTATGGGAAGCCCACTCGCAGGAGCTATTTGGGGATCTGTGAACTGTTTCACATTGAGAGTCCTGTGAATGGATGCACTTATATTAATAAATGATGCTTGGAAACAGGGCTTTTATTAGACTCCGAGAGAGATCTCATTCCTTTCCTGGGCAGTGATACAGCCTTTAGTCTGTGGCGGAAAGGATGGGCACCTTGAGTGACTACAGGGACTGAAGAAGGAGAAATTGAGGCAGGACTTGCCTGTATTGCAGAGGTTAGCTGCTTGATGGTGCCCTGGTGTGGTGGGCCCTGTGACAGAGACTCTTCAGTAAAAGTTGATCTGGTGCATAGCCTGTTTTCATGGCCATCTTATTGCTAGCTAAATAAGAGTTTAGTAAACTCAAGGGTCAGATAAAACTATGTATTATAGATGGGGCTGGTAATACTGCCTATTTATTTTCACATTTGCTGAGCCAAACAATAGTGTTCTTAGTGGCCAAGTGGAGCTTTCGGAACCCCAGTTGAATTTGGCGAATGGGCACTCCTCCACAATGTTTATCATTGTTTGATCTGCGCAGCAGCTGCAGCTTGGGTTGTCTTGAAGACCCCAACAGTGCTGGCTGACTGCACAGAAGCCTTGCCCAGTTCAGAATCAGTTAAGAACTGAACCACTGGGCGGCAATGGATCTGCGTTCTTGTCGTGCCACCTGTCAGTATCCGGCACAGTTCAGGAAAGCTAATGATCCTCCTAGCAAGCCGAATTCTGCAAGCTCATCCTTGAAAAATCCTGGTATTGCCACCTCCGGTTATCCTAAGAATGAGCAATCTGAGTCTTACTACTAAACATTGAGGGTTTATCGACAGCCAAGAGATCAATCAGCACTCTTGCTCACTGCCTATTAAAGTCGCCTGACATGTCCCATTATGAGACTTTGTTTTCACTTGCTTATATTTTTGACAAATTTTAACTGTTCTGGTTGAAATTTTACATGCCAGGTGTCTGCCTCAGGCTGAATATTTTTAGAAAGTTTTAGCCAGCAGCTAAGCTGCTTCTTAGGGTATGTCTACACTACCCGCTGAATCGGTGGACAGCGATCAATCCAGCAGGGATTGATTTATCGCGTCTAGTCTAGGCGTGATAAATCGACCCCTGAGAGCTCCAGTGCCACAAGAGGGGCAGGCAGAGTCGACGGGAGAGCGGCAGCAGTCAACTCACCATGGTGAAGACATCACAGTAAGTCGATCTAAGTACGTCGACTTCAGCTATGTTATTAAAGTAATGGAGATATCCTATCTCCTAGAACTGGAAGGGACCTTGAAAAGTCATCGAGTCCAGCCCCCTGCCTTCACCAGCAGGACCAAGTACTGATTTTTCTCCAGATCCCTAAGTGGCCCCCTCAAGGATTGAACTCACAACCCTGGGTTTAGCAGGCCAATGCTCAAACCACTGAGCTATCCCTCCCCTATTCATGTAGTTGAAGTTGCGTAACTTAGCTCGATCCTCCCCCCCCCCCCGCCCCCAGTATAGACCATGGCTTAGAATCAGACTAGTGTCAAAAGAACAGGAGTACAGGAGTTAAGACTTAGTCTCTAAGGTGCCACAAGTACTCCTGTTCTTTTTGCGGATACAGACTAACACAGCTGCTACTCTGAAACTAGTGTCAAATACATTGTTATACCATGTTTTTATTCTATGTTAAAAAAAATCTGGCCTGCCTGCCTTCTTTGGAGCAGAGACTTGAAATCTGGCATTTGGGTGACCTGTGTATCAGGGATATGCTTTTTGAGGTTTCCATGAAAATCTGCCCAATTTAGGTCAAGTTATAAACCTTTTGAAAAAGTATCATTTCACACATGCTAAGTAGAGATTTCATAGAGCTTTGCTGCTGAATGGTCCAAAGACTGGTTGGGGAAGGAGATTGGAACTGAGGGCTGGGGGTAGACTGGGACTGGTTGGGCAAGGAGACTGGGACTGAGGGCTGGTGGATGTAGATAGACTGGGACTGATGGGGTGAGGACACTAGGAATGGGGGCCTGTGGGGGATGGGGGAGGCTAGGACTAGTTGCAAAAGGAGATTGGGATTGAGAATTGGGAAGGAAAATAACAAGGGGAACAAAATATTGAATAGCTGCTCATTAAGTGAGCACTATCCAGCCTCTACACTGAATGAGGCAGGGGTCTTGTGGAAAAATATTATGTAATCACTAAAAAATTGGGAAAAACTGGTGCGGCGGTAGTACTGCTGAAAAGGATCTGGAGGTTATAGTGGATCACAAATTGAATATGAGCCAACAATGTGATGCAGTTGCAAAAAAGGCTAATATAGTTCTGGGTGTATCAAAGGAGCATAATATGTAAGACATGGGAGGTAATTGTCCCACTCTACTTGGCACTGATGGAATACTGTGTCCAGTTCTGGGTGCCACATTTTGAGAAACGTGTGAGTGAACTGGAGGGAGTCCAGAATGCAGAGCAACAAAAATGATAAAAGATTTAGAAAACCTGACCTACAGGGAAAGGGTAAAAGAACTGGGTATGTTTAATTTGGAGAAAAGAAGACTGAGGGGGCACCTGAGAGTCTTCCAATATGTTAAGGGCTCTTTACAGTGATCAATTGTCCTCCATGTCCACTGAAGATAGGACAAGAAGTAGTGGGTTAATTTGCAGCAAGGGAGATTTAGGTTAGATATTAGGAAAATCTTTCTAACTATAAGAATAGGTAAGCACTGGAAAAGGCTCCCAAGGGATATTGTGGCATTCCTGTCATAGGAGGTTTTAAAGAACAGGGTGGACAAACACCTGTCAGGCATGGTCTAGGTCTACTTGGTCCTGCCTCAGGATAGGAGGCTGGCCTAGATAATCTTTTGAGGTCTTTTCCAGCCCTACATTTCTATATAATTAAAAACTCTATCATAATGCATATGCAGAAGGAAGGAATTTGGCATTTCCTAACTTTTGAGTGCTTGATTTGCAACATTAATAATGTTTTTTAAAGTAGTTTTTTGATAACCATGACAACACTTGTGGATCTTTTTTATAGACTTTTGCTGAGACAAGGAACAGGCATATGAATGCAAGAAACTGGACATGTCAATTCCTGTACAAAAATGTAACATAAAAGTTAAACATAATTTATAAAAATCACATAATCATCTCATTTTTAAATGCAAGCAAAACTGCCATAATGTAGGGCCCATAGCAAAACAGCTCTGATCTCAGGCTACTAGACCTGCATACTTAATTGTTTTATATTTGCTTTTATTTTGAGGACTACAAATTTAGTAATTTGAGATCATTGTAATCTATAAGAAATAATCATACTGACAGTTATTTCCCATCAAAGCATACCACTTTGTGAACTTTACAAACATTAATATTTTATCCACACTGAGATAAGTACAATTAACCCCATATAGGACCTGATTCAACAAATTACTTAAGCACACGCTTAAGAATGTGAGTAGTCTATGGGCTTCAGGAGGGCTACTCATGTGCTTAAAGTTACATATATATAACTTAGGTGCCTGGCTGAATCAAGGCCTTAACCACAAGATCACCCTTTCTCTCTACATGAAGAGTATAATCATTTTTGTGGGATGTGATCCTTATTCAGTCTTTGTTCTACATGACCTATATTTTGTGACCAGAACAGAGAGTTATAAAACAAATCAGTGTATTCCTTTATATAATTAATGAAGCATGTGAGCTCTCTCTCATTTATAGTATACTTTTAAGCAAACCCAACCCCTGTTAAGTGTATGTACAAGCAAAACAGACTATAGAATAGGAGCAGTAATTACCATATTTCTCACAACAGATACAATTTTATATGCATTTCAGAGACACTAGTCTGCACTCTAAAGGAGGCCATTTAATTAAACTGTTTGCCTGTGGGAGACTCTGTTATTCCATAAAATGACTGTCTTGTTGTGAATATCTAGCTACCTGTCAGACAAATTGAAAATATGCTGTGCTGTAACAGTATTTTTGAAACACGCTTGGTATTATAGACATAAACCTTCATTAGAGGTCAGATCCCACATTCCACCAGGATAACTCGCAGGAAGTGAAATGGAAGCTTACGTGTATTTGATGTTTGCTTGTTGCAGGTAGGATAGCAGAATTTGTGAACTGTTCCCTGGAACATGTACATCTGTGACTGTACCCTCTGAGATGTGGAAGATGCTGCTGGGCTGCCACAGGTCCACCTGTAGTGCAGGAACCAACCTGTAATTCATATTTATTCAGTGTAGGTGGGGAAATCCAGGAGATAGTATGGTTGTAATTTTCTTCTATGTATCTAATATGGCATGTTGTTGTTTATTTAGCATCGCTGGAGTACTACTGCTTAGTGCACTGGTCAAACACTATTTACAGTAGTTAGAGAATGATTCAAACTTTTATTTTTGAAACAAAAATGTTTCACTTTCAGTTTAACAATTTTATTTTTGACCTCTTCTTGGTCTGAGCTACCTGGCATCATAATCCAAGAGATGTTTAAATATCCACCACTTTTCTGTATCAGATTTTTATACATTATATAGTAAATTTCTTGTCAAAATCCCTCAAAATCTTGCACATTCCCTCTGTATCAGCTTCCCTATGGTCAGCAACTTTTGTTTTCATTTTTATTTTTCAATAGGGCAATGCAAGGAAAGAAAACTGAGGAGAAATGGAAAGTGTTCAAAAATGTATTAATGTGGTATTTGTAAAATGTATGCTAAAATTCTGCAATGACATTTAGAAATAATATGTCAGAGGTACAACACAAATTTCAATGCAGAATAGGTTAGCATGGTGCTGTAAAATAGGTAAGATTGTGTTCATACTCAAGGGTTATCTATGGTTTGAGTGTACGGTCAGGACACAGTCCTAACTCAGCGCTGAATGACAATATCTAGATGGTGCTGTGCTAGATAGGAAGAGTACTACGTTGCCAAAAAAAATGTATATAGAAAGGTTACAAAATCAAAGAAAGATAATATATACCTAAGTACAAGTGTCTGCACCTCCAAATTAATCTGTAATTTTATTTTCTTAATATAAAAGAAACATGGTATATTTTATTTCTGCGCACTTTAGCACTGTTGCCTCTTTTGTCCCATGTGGTCAGCCAATATTTGGGGCCTTGTGGGATTGTTTCTTCTAGGAGGAGAAATCAAAGATGAGTCAAGTATATTCTTTGGTGCAATTCTGTTTATTTACAAAGAATATACACAAAGTCCTTTTCTGCTGAATACAGTAGGTAGAAACAACAGCAAGCTGTTTCCTTCCTCGCTATTTTCAAGTCTGCCCCTCCAGCCAGTTCTATGCCCAAGGAGTTCTGTCTCTCCGCTCCCTCTCAGGGTTATGTTAATGACCACGTCCCTCCCTGCTGGCTTTTTGCCTCTAACACAAACACCCACCCACCCCTTGGCTTCTGCATTTGGCACAATCCCAGGGAAATCCCTCAGACCACCTGGTTTAGCCCTGCTCTGGCTTTGCCATGTGATCCATGGCCTGGACAGCAATCTCCTTTTGTTTCCAGTTAACACTACATGAAGGGGCATTGAATTGCTCCTTCCAATTAACCTGAAAGAAAGATGCTTAACACACCAATCGGCTTTAACTAGGTCTGTGATTTGTTTTTAGATCAAAGAGCCATTTGTTGGGCACAATTAACACCTTCCAGCACAATAATAATTATAATTTACTCTTAATATCCAGACTAAGTTGTGTTTATTTATACATTCTGTAGTATATAAAGGTAATGGTTTGCTATACTGGTTTTTTAACTAATAGTTTAACTTTTTAAATGTATTGAATTAGGTGTGGCATTGCAAGTACCAAACCTTTCCTTGTCCATAAGATCATTATAGGATCTGGTTTTCCATGCCTCTGAGGAATGTCAGGTTCATAATACAACTATTGTTGTGATGACAGCTGTTAAAATGGGCTAGTGAAGAGCTTTTACTGGCACTTTTAAGCCTCTGATATTATGTAATTTATTGCCAGTAACAAAAACAACAGAGTTCCTTTCTTCTTGCTTTATTTATGTGCTCTATCAGAGTGCATGCTCATGCCCCTACACATACTCTAACCAACACTAAATTTGTTTAATATACTTTCAAATAAACCATTTCCACAGTCACTAATATAGTCAAGTCACTTCCAGTGGAATTTTAATCACCAAATGTTTTGATTACTTAACTCCCAAGAGATACACTGACTAACAGGAGGATATTTTGGATTTGCATTAACACCTTAGCGAACGGTGGGGTATTATACATGTTCAATGCTGGGAGACTGGATGTCAGTAGGTAGCAATCTGATTTCTCCCTTCTTGCACAGATGAAAAACACTAAACGATGGACACCAATACTCTGATTGAAAATAATAATAATAATAATAAAACAATGGAAGGCCAAGCTGCAGTAGAGGACAGAAGAAATGATTTAGGCCTCGATCCTGCCAACACTTTCACAGCTGAGTTTCCTCCCAGCATATGAGTTGTCCCACTGAAGTCAGTAGAACTACTTGTGTATGACATTATTCACCTGCAAATGTAGTATATAAAGGATCAGGACAGTAGACTGATGAACATCAACTCCTCCTGTCAGGTAAGGCTTTCTAACTTCTATTATATCTGGGTGGCCAAAAATGAGGGAGCCAAAGCCATCTTCTTACTGCCCCCACTCTCTACTATGTAGAAGTGGAGTTTGGAGTTAGTGGTGAATCAGGGCCAGCGTATTTAGAGAGTGAGCACATAGGAGGCCTATGAATTCAATAGGTTCTGAATGCAGTCCTGTCCTGCTGTCCTTAGTTGCACTGATAATGGGCCAATTAAAGGATAAGAGGTATGTGAGAGAGTCTCTAGGGCTTCTGTAAGGACTTGCATGGCAACCAGGAAGAGGCAAAAAGTAATTAAAGCTTTCTTTAATATATTAGACAATAACTGCTCAATAGACTCTCTACTTTGTTTGCTTTTCAGTGAGGCTGGTAAAGAGAAGTGTTACATAGTTAGTGACTCAATCAGTTGCAGTGACCACAGTACCAATTGTAATAGAATACTAACAATAGATAGCTTGCAGGTTCAAGTTGCACAAATCTCTGGGAAATTGTAACATGTTAATGATCTTGCTGCTTTATTGCAACTGGTATAATTTTACACAAGATTTAACCCTGTAATAAAGATATTTCTTCTGAGAGTTACTGAATAAAAATTTAACTCAATTGTATCCTAAATAAATATCTATTTTTACAGGCATGTATAAGTATCACAAACCTAAATGTATATGAAAGATTTGAAACAGGTACCACATAGGGTCTTCAAAGAAAAAAAAAGTTTCTTACTAAGCTTTACAATTCAGACTTGATTCTTATTTCAGAGTTACCTCTGCACAGCACCAAAACATGGAATATCAAACCACTGAAGCTAGTAAGAGTTTTGCCATTGACATAACAGAGTGGAACCAGGCCCCCTCAGCATTTGGGAGCCAGCTGAATACTTTCACCTGAAACAGGTATTTCTAGTTGCTGTGTTGTATGAATGCAATGTATGTACTTTGTGGACTAAGTCTTTCCTTCTTTATCTTACACCTTCTTGTTTGTTGCTTTTCCTGCAGCAATCCTTCCCTTCTACCCCCTCACTATTTAAGTTACATTCACTTATGCTCCCTTGCACTCATTCATTCTGATTTATCACGATTTAATTTATTCCAACACCATCATGTCCCCTCTAAATTTGAAACATTGTGTGGATTTCTGATTTACCTGTGTGTAAGTTAGATCAGAATCAGGTTTGATGTCTACAGCATCTAGCTACACATGTACAAGATGCTTACTTTGTCTGGAACTCTGCTAGGGAGCTGCATCCACTCTGGTGTGAATATCTCCTTGGGCAAAGAAGGCAAAGCAGCATTTATACTGAGTGGCTTTTCAAGCAGGCATTTATCCTCTGAAAATTCATTCAGCATTTGCCTTAGGAACTGCAAGGTACCAACTGATCCTTTCCCCGTACAAGCTACTGTCTAAATTCCCTCAGCAGCAGAGCCAGGAATAGTTCAGGGATTACAATGTGAGCAGCTGCTGTAGAGGCAAGACAAATAGAAGGGAATGGGAGTGTGGCTGCTAGGTCTGTTACTTCGGCCCCTTCTGTTACCCCAGGGAGGGCCTGTGCGCGCTTGTATATTTTTGTAAAAGCTGTTGGAGAATCAGGGTAACTCCATCTGTTACACCAGAATTACCATGGAACAGCAGCTGCAGTGCTCAGTTTACAGATGCAACCCAGAATATCTGGCAAAGAAATGGCTAGAAAGTCATTGGAGGAGAGCAGCAACTGGCCTTAAAGGTTCAAATGAAGTAGTTCTTCATTAATGATATTGACCAAAAGGGTCCCATAGCAGATAAATAGCTGATGAAAGTAGGTCTGAGAATCAAAGTAAACTTCAATTGTCTGGAAAACACTTTGGAATGTGGCATTTGTTCCAATCAGTCAACTGGATTAAAACCATTTATCTTGGGCAATGGAGAGCAGATGACAGTGGACAATCAACTGAGATATGTGATGCAGAAGAATACTGGAAGGATGACAAAATGGCTGTCAATAAGCTAGATACATACTGCAAAAAAATTGTGTTTTCTCATTTGAATTGTTAAAGAATTTACTTTCAACATGCTGGATTCCCTAGTCTACTAAGGTCACTTAGTGGTGCAGAGTGGATTTAAAAGTGCTGGAAATATCCAGTGGAAAGTTCCCCTGGTATAGGAGAACTCAGCTGGGATGGAAAGCTAAAGGAGGCAACTCCACCACCACCAGCCACCTCTCTCTGCACCTCTGGCATAGGGGAGGGAGAGAACAAACAGGTCAGGTGTGTTCTAGGCAGTAGGTGTGCACAAGGCAGGGATGTGATGGAGCAGAACCCCCCCCCCCACTTAATCCTTCACTGGCATATTGTCCAAGGAGCTTATACCATTGGCAGAAGTTAGAGTGGGTCCCATTCTGCTCTAGTGGGGCTGGGTGGCCAAGGATCAGGGAACTGAGGCCATCTCCCTAGTGCGAACACTTTTAACTATGTCCTACTGCAGTTCTGAGGTAATGGTGAATCAGGGGCAGTTTATTTAGGCCTCCCTTGTGCTCACTCTCTGAATAAGTTTACTAGTGGGAATATTGGCAAAACCAGGGGATTTTAAGCAAGTATTGGAGAATCTGTAGCAAGCAAGCAAGTTT